TTGAAAATCAACCCAACTAAAACAGAAATCTTGAATATAAATCTTCCAAGAAGAGAGAGAGAGAGGCCTTGCAAAGGGAATTTTCTTTCTCTTGGAAGGAAAAATAATTAAAATATTTAGGAATAAAATTGGCAGTCTCCATGAAGAATCTATACAAAGTAAATTATAGTCCATTATTAAACGAAATTAAAGATGAAATGAGAAAATTCGGGATAGGTGGTATATCGTGGATAGGACGAATAAATGTAATTAAAATGGTAATCGTCCCAAAAACTTTATATAAATTCCAGATGATCCCAATAAGGCTGCCAGGACTTTATTTTAGGATAATGAAAAAAATTATGCTAAAGTTCATATGGAAAAATAAAAAACCTAGAATAAATTATGAAGTTCTAACTAGAGACAAAGAAAATGGAGGTTTAGGTGTACCTGATTTTAGAAGATATTATAATGCAGTATTGATAGCACGAATTTTTGATTGGATACATAATTCACAGAGGAAAAGTTGGATAAAATATAGAAAACACTTTAAGTAAAACACATTTGGATAGGATAATATGATTGCCACCTCACTTTCGTGGACTGATAGAAAGTACAAGTGTATTAACAAGAATAGTGTTGAGAGCTTGGGACACAATGCACGGACAGATGGGATGGGAATTTAACTCTATGTTGATGCCTATTGTAAACACAGTTTTTTTCCACCAGAGAATGTAAAGATTGCAGGGAGATGGATAAGGAAGGCAGATGCCAATTAAGAGACCTAATGAAAGGCGAGGAAATCTGCCCCTTAGTAGAATTGAAGAAGAAAAAGGGAGTTGTTTATTAAAGTAGATGAGTGGCGGTATCAACAAATAAAACATTTCATAGAAAAACTTCCTAGGCCCCTAAGGAGGAAAGAACAATGGAACCCATTTGAAAATTTGTTAAGTACAAGGGGAGATGGGAAACATGGAACCTCAAAGATATATAAAATTCTTACTAAGTGAACAACAAGAATGATACCGGCATATATGGAGGGATGGGAGAGAGAGGACAAACAAAAACGATTTATAAGTTAACACACGGGAATGTGAGTATGAAAGAGGTAGAGATGAACTATAAATGTCTGGCGAGGTGGTATATGACACCAAATATAGTACACAAACAAAATAGGGAGAAATCACCTTTATGTTGGAGGAGATGTGGGTAACAGGGCACAGTAGATCACATTTGGTAGAAATGTCACAAAATTCAAAAATATTGGGAAGAAGTACTTCACTTGACACAAGAAATAACTGGGATAAAAATATTAACAGAGGCAGGGGTATGTCTCTTACATGGAACAAAGTTAACGGTTGAAAGGTATACAAATTCTGGGTTACACTATATTAATGCAGCAAAGGGTCCGATTACTACATTTTGGATGGAACAGAAAGCACCAAGAATAAATCGGACTGGATTAAAAAGGTAGACCAGATATATAGGATGGAAGAACTATACCATATAGAGGAGGACAAAGTGGAGGGTTTTCGTGAGAAATGGAAAAAGTGGGAGAAGTTTAAGGTTAATTTAATTGAAATTTTATAGGAAAGAAAAATTATATGAATACCTTAGGACTCCAAAAGAAAGAGAAAAGAGGCTGAGAGGTGGGGGAGGCAAGGGATGGGATAGGGAGGGGGGAAGGGGGAGTTTGTATTTTTTGTATGTGGGGTGAAAATAATTGAATACGTTGAAATTTTAACTGATGGAAAGAAAAATGGTAAAAAAATACTTAATAAAATATTAATGGCAAAAAAAAAAATAATTCATAGGAAGAAATGATTTACTGCATTTACTTGCTTTCACCATAGTCAATATCAGCAAAATAGGTTACTAGAAAACATAAGCCAAAACTTTTTTTTGTCATCTGTGTCCCATTGGCAAGAATACCCTTCACTTCCTCTCCTATAAACACAACACAAAGTAGGAATCCATTTCTCCAAAGTGAAGGAAATTTCATCCTAGACAGATGTCACTGAAACAAATGTTCCTACTGGAAGACATCTGTTCTGGTGACAACTCAAAATGTTGGATTTTTTTCTCATTTTCAGCTCCAGTGACAGAAGTCACCAATACAGGCACAGAGTAAATTTCACTAAAACAGACAGCAAGAGAGACCCTACAAGGGTTTTATCCACTCATTACTTTATCAACAACTGAAAAAAAAAAAAAAAAAAAGTTCTGACTTTAGATACAGTTGAAGGTGAACCTTCTACTGTTTCTCGTGTTCTGCCTGTAGGACAAAAAGGTTCCATGGGAAAAAGTACCATCTGACACACTCGGTACACAAAGCAAGCTAGTGAAAGGGCTGTGTTAAAAATTGCTCTAAAGCAAGAGACATTACATTGAGGGATTGAGAAAAAGGGAAAACAAAAAGCATGTTTACACCTTTAATTCACAAAATATAGGATCTAAGGGTTTCTTTTTTAAAGGGATTGTAAAGGACTACTTTTTATCTATTAAAAATAACAAACACGTTGTACTTACCTGCTCTGTGCAATGGTTTGCAGATTCTCCTCTTTTTGGGTCTCCCACCAGCGCTCCTGGCTCTTCACCTCCGTGAATGCCCCAGTAGCAAGTCGCTTGCTATGGGGGCACACATTGCAAGGTCAATCCCAAGCCGGCTCTGTGCATTCATAGACACACAGAGCGTGGCTTGGCCTCACATCCTGCTCCGTCCTCACTGCCTGTGAGTGACAGCCGTGGAAGTGAATGGTTCCCACTGCTGTCTCTGGGCTAATGAGGAGAGAGAGAGCGCCTGCTCTTGTGCACAGTATTGGATTAAGATTGGGCTCAAGTAAGTATGGGGGAGTAAGAGCTGCAAACAAAAGGTTTTTTGACCTCAGGTCTTCACAAATCCCAAGCGCCAGGTCACCATGGCAATGAGAAATTGCATCCTGATGCTTGGGTTCACACTGCCTCCCATTGACTTCAATGAGATGCGAACTCCTGTCAATAGCAATTTATGTGAACACTCCGTATGGCAATATCACTTGAAATCTGACATGCACCTGCAAACTCACACAGGACCTGTAATGGCATTCAAAATGCAATGCATGTGATCATATCTGTGTGAATCACCTCAATAGGACAAATAATATCTAGCCTGTCATGTGAATCTGTGAGTTTGAAAACAAATCCAGAACTGCATAATGTGAACCAGGGTAGCTCCATTCACAACTGGGTGTTTAGGGATCACGGCAGAATCACTGTGATTGCAAAACGCAGGTTCAGGTGCTATTAATTTCAATGGCACTTAAAACAGGGTGCAGTTTTACTGTAATTATTGTGCAGCAAATAGCATCACGTGAAGCTTGTCGACCAAAAATTGCCTTGCCATGGGCACGGACAACCCACGCTACACACAAAAAAAAAAAAAAAAAAAAAAAAAAAAACGGCTCTTTTTTAGCTGGCTCCTAGATTCAAAGCAAATTTGTCAAGCCCTGTTTTACCTTAATGTATTAAGATAACAAAATTTCTGCCTTCAGAACAACTTTAAAATAAACCTGGTTTGATCTAAAGCAAAGTATTCACAGACTGAAAAACTGGACAGTTCCTGTGGTGTGTACTGCTGTCTGTTCAACAGAAGCTAGTCAAATGACTGGCTTCTGTTGAATGACCATGCCTGAAAACCAGCATTCCATTAGCGCTTGCAGCCAATGATTGCAAGTCATCCTTTCAGTAGGTAAGACAAACTAAATCAGAGAAGGGCACAGAAGAAGTTTTTCTGGCTAATAAATGTCATGGCCGACATCACTAGTAAGGAGGCAACAAAGGAGAAACACACCAATGATTTGAGCAACAAAGTCTTCGTAGGACAATATGTTAAAATTTAGAAAAAAAAAAAAAAAAATTGTTTCACCATCTAAAAGTATCCCAGGTGACAGAACCACCCATATGACAGGGGCCAAAGTAACAAATCAGATTTCACAGTGAAAAGTATACCTTTTGGCGCCACTCCAAGCTATGGATGGAAGGAAAAGAAATCACCCCACTGCCAAGTGAGAAGACAGGAGCAGGAGTTCGAGCGATTCCAGTGTCAGCGAATACAAGTAAAAGGATGGACGCTGCTCAACCAATCCCAGTAGTCCAATGCTGAGAAATGGCCTCAGCCACTGTACTGGCCAAACCCACCGACTTGTTTCACCCCGCCCCGGGCTTAAGCTTAGTCAATGTTGAGGAATGGCCTCAGCCGCCATACCTTACTGATGCATTTTTCCACCGCCCACCTGGGCTTGGTCACAGTGGTAGTGAAGTTGTGAGAAGCCAGGAAATTTTTTATTATATATAATATATATATATATATATATATATATATATATATATATATATATATATATATATATATATATATATATGCATTATTGGCTGTGAAAAAAAGAATCAGGTGTGTATGTGTGATACTAGAGTGAATAGATAACAGCAAGAAGACAAAAGAAAACTGAATAGTAATGCTGAAATACAAGGGAAAGAGAGAAAAAAATATAAAAATACATAAAATTTGGGGAAAACAAAACATAAAATATATATTTTCCTCTTTCTCCCCTCTTGTGTTTCAGCATTACTATTCAGTTTCTCTTTTCTTCCTGTTATCTAATCACTATCACCGCACATACACACCTTTCTTTTCTTTTTTCATGGCCAGTGATGCAGATATATTTCCTGGCTTCTCACATCCTCACTATCTCTGAGACCAAGCCCCTGGCTGGTGGGGCAAAACACATCAGATGGCATGGCCAGTATGGCAGCTGAAGCCATTCCTCAGCATTGGACTCCTGAGGTCAGTTGAGCAGCGTCCATCCTTTCACTTGTATTGGCTGACACTGCAATCAGATTTCACACTTATGTAAATTACATAATTGATTAAAAATGTGGGTTTTTTATGATTTAAAAAAAATACAGAATAATCTTATAGTAACTGCTATTAACTGGCAGTGCTAGTTCAATAAAATAGCAAAACATAATTGCTCTCATCATACCTGATTCTCATAAGTCTCTTCTTGATATCGGATGGGAAGATCACTGGTGTGCACATATACATAGACCTGATGGTTGGAGGCAATGCCCCAGCAACATGCTTGTGCAGCAGCTAAGCGTTTGAACTCCTGTTGGTCATCTTTACATAGTTCCCACTGCTGTCCATCTGTAGAAAGTGTGTATACTTTGCCACAAATATCTGCAGCCCATATCACAGTATTCGGCATTCTGATGACTGAAAAAAAAAAAAAAAAAAAAAAAAAAAAATCACAAATAGGTGGAACATGGACAAAAAAAACGGCAGGTTCCCTTAGGCCACATGCACATCAGCGCTTTGGCTCATGTGCATCAAATCTCTGCATTTTCTGTGAGGCACAGGTGCAGCATCCAACCCCACTGCCAGCAGGCTGTCAACATCTGACCTGCTGAAATAGGCAACTGGACGCTTTACCAAGTGGTACTTGTGCTTAGGTCCGGATGTGTTCAGGGATGTGTGTCTGGAACACAAGCAGTGGAGCTAGATGCTGTACCTGTGCCTCCAAGGTGCCCAAAAAAGCCAGGATTTGAGACACATGGGCCAAAGTGCTATGGTGCACAAGGCCTTACAGGTGCCACACTAGCCCTCTTGAGCATTTTCATCATATAACGTTTATATACAAAATAATGTCTAGTTTGTTTCAATCTGGATGTTAAAATTCCTATCAGCTAGTTGTAGTATAAGTATACGGTATATATATTTGGTTTTCATTTTAGGTAATTTTTTATCACCTACTGCTATGAATTATGTTAGTATGACAATTATCTGCACTACTTGATCTTTCAGGTCACATTTCAGTCACGATGAAGGAGTCAGTGTACAGTCTTCGAAGCACAGTTGAATTTTATAAACAATTTATGTTTTGAATAAACCCACTTTCACCATCGCTTGGTTCACGTTCTACATTATGTACTAGCACATTAGGATTGATCAAAGATATTTGTTGGAATTGTTTATTAATTTTCTTGCTACATTTGAGCATAATCTGCACATTTATATGTTTTTTTATGCACTTTTGATTGCACCATCTACGTCTGAATTTATCACTTTGTTTATTTGTAGTGCTGCACCATTTGTATTCTTATTTGCTTTGGCTGGATCACCATTGAGTGCTAGCGGCTTTTTCTCCAAGCGCTGAGAGTTTTCTTTGTTTTTAGTAATAATATCTTAGATTACAAAATCCTCAGTTTTACTCAAATTAGTTAATATAAAAATGAATACACTCCACAACAAAAACTACATCTAGTACTTTGTATGGCCTCCATGATTTGTAAGAACAGCACCAAGTCTTATAGGCATGGAATGGGCCCTGGCAAATTCTAGGCGGGCTTTTTTGTGCATGGGCTTACTTCGTGGACAACACTCATGCATGCCATTCCTTTGCAGTGTACACCGTATTGTGTTACGGGAAACAATTACCCCAGTTTGGATTACTACATCTTTAGCAAACATTTCAGGCTCTGGCAAATGTGAGAACTGGGAGAACAAGCAATCCTACAATCCCACCAAAAATGGATTAAACAAGTGTTCCCAGTGAAATTCCATGATCCTCCTGAAAGGTAGTGTAGGTCTATTTGTGTAATCATTCATACAGGGATAACCATGATTCCACCCCCTTCTGAGTACAGCAAGTCCTCGAAAAAAAGAAAAAGGGGGGGGGGGGGATTGGGAACAAATAAAAATGTGAAACCACAATTCACTCAATCGTCAAGGTTACAGTACCATTAACCCCTCCCCCCTTGATACATAGAAATAAGAGAGTGCTTGGCAGACTTTTAAGTCATCTTTCATACAGAAGTGTGTTCCATAAATAGAAATCATCTTCTCTGCTGAATAAAACAAGACTACACATGCACTGTGCCAGATATTGTTGAAAGGAGATAGCAAATGACCATTTGTACTGCATATGCTTGTTTAATCACTTTAAAGAAAAATATTCATGCTTCATTTTTTTAAGGTTCTGTCCCTCAAGGGAGAAAGTACATGTAGTACTTTTCCCCTTGTTCTTATGTGCTTTGCAAGCCTAGTTACATCAAGGTCAGACAGGGCGCCCCCTCACTCCATAGCTGTCCAACAACGTAGCTAGCAAGAAGACAGCTGCTTGATAATGGGCGCTTGTCTTAGCTCCAAGTACTTGACAGACAAGTGCCAGCAAAAGAAATTCAGAAGTGTTAGTCTTCTGTCCTGCTGCATTCCTCTTGCCACTTGATTCAGGCAAGTGCTTGGAGCCAAGGCAAGTGCCAGTTTTTAAGCAGCTATGTCCTTGCTAGCTATGTTGTCAGATGGTCATGGGAGAAGCGATGCACCCTATCCAACCTCATAGATGGGTTTACAAAACATGTGGGACCATGGATCAAAAGTACCTGTTTAGTGATCTATCCCCCAGGGCATAAAGTTCATGTCTTACTTTGTCCTCTGGGAACAGAACACTAAAATAAAATTGAGAAATCCCTAAAACATTCTAGCTTGTCTTTTAAGTTTTATATAAAGAATGAAATGTACTTTGGACTATTCTTAAGGCTTGGTTCACACCTATGCAGTTTGTTTTTGGGCTGTTTCTGCACTGCGTTTTTGCCGCGTTTTGTGTTTTCTTTACGTTTTCTTGTTGCTAGGAAGATTAAAACGCAAAACCCGGCAAAAATGCAGCAAAAAAAATGCACTACATGCTTTTCTGCAGTGTTTCCATTGCAGTCTATAGAACCCAAAATGCAACGTTTTGCGCTTACAAAAGTCCATGACCCTTTCCAAAAAACGCACCGGGTGAAAACGCAGAGATATGAACGTGTCCCATAGAAAATCATGGTAAATGGACTGTAGTCCGTTTCTGAAAAACACTTAGGTGTGAACCTAGGGTTAGGTGTGCCACTCCGTACCATAAAAAAAAGATCATGGTCTGCATCCAAGGCTCCTCCCAGATGCCCATTCACAGAGAGGTATAAAAGGTGTGTTTTGAGGTTCAGTGATTTATGGGTTAAAGCCAAACTCCAGCCTTTCATTTAGATAGACTTGGAAATAAAAAAAACACACATTCTGACATTTCTTTTTATTGTGATATTGTTGGAGAGATTTCATCTACATCCTGTCCCCCTCAAGAAACGGGGTGGTTCGGGGAAGCAGAGGCAGGAAGTCATAGACAATAATAGTAGGGGCATTTAAGTCATATCAGGACTTACGTTTATATAATAAGAGAACAAATTTCAGTGGAAACTGCATTTATTTTTTGACATACTCCCCTGCTACATTTATACACTTATCCCAATGTTTAACTAATGCCTGGAAAGCTTCAGCATAGAAAGAAATTTTTAGTACGCCTGAACCATCCTAAGTCAGCCTACTTCACTTCGTCCTCATTTTTCCTCACGATAAGATTTGGCTCTTGTGCAATTTCACAACAGGTTATTCATAAATTATCCAGGATCAGGCATTACATGTGCTAAATGTTCACAGGAATGACTGTTGTGGGCTGGGGACCACCACAGCCGGGATCGTCACTGATGGACGAATGGCCATCTTTGAAACGTTTACACAACTGAAATGTTTGGCTGCAGCTGAGCCACTCATCCCCGTACTGTGCTTGAAGCAGGGTGGATAAAAATCAATGATTTTTTTTAAAAAAAAAAAAAATTGGATTTTTTTTATTTAAATTGGATTTTTTTGAATAAAATGCTTTTTGAGGAAAATATATTACCATCCAAAGGTTATTCCATCATGAAATAAAGATTAGTTTTTTAATTATGTAGAATAAGGCTGTACATGTTTAATTGTTTTGGTAAATAAATTCCATTAATCCATTCACAATGTCATGCTCTTCCAGAGGTTTTTGTAAGATTATTGGGCAGTTTCTCTGCCTACAAGATATTATCACAGATGCTTGGTTTACTTTTGCAGTTCTCAAAACTGAATTTGACTCAGCGGAGATCACATGCCTCTTCTTCACAGCAAAAATGTTATAACATGAACAGAGTTAAGAAAAAGACCTTAATCCTAACTTCTACAAACCTATGAATACAGAATCAACCCCTTCAGTGCTAAGTTTCAAGAAGTTCAGTGAATAGAATAGAAACAATATTTTTCTGATTGTTTGGAGTGGAATAGATCTGCACAAGAAGAAAGTGAAACTAAGTGTGAGGAGGAAGGGGCTGACAGTCTAAGTTTCTTAAAATATATATATTTTGTTTAGCCAAATTAGTTAACAAACATGGATGTTTGTTTAAGCAAATAACATATTCTGTAATGTTATTGTTTCAGTTGAATAAATCTATTTAAATTGTTATTATTAAGGTAATGATTCTTTTTCTCCTTCCTAAGTACAACAGAAAAGTTGTCCAAATATGAATGATTAACCTATTAAACTGGGGATAAAAAAACTAATATGAAAAGTTGTTATTCTAAAAATCTTCATCTACTTGCATATTAGAGTTATACCAGCAAGAATTAGTCTATGTAGAAAACTAGGATTTAAATCAAGCCTTACTGACTAGTGATTTAAATCGTGAATTAAATCAGTTTGATTTAAATCAAATCCACCCTGTGGGACAGTATTCCTTCCACTGACAGCGATGATGGGACAGTATTCCTCCCACTGACACCGATGATGGGGCACTATTCCTCCCACTGACACCGATGATGGGGCACTATTCCTCCCACTGACACCGATGATGGGGCACTATTCCTCCCACTGACACCGATGATGGGGCACTATTCCTCCCACTGACACCGATGGCACTATTCCTCCCACTGACACCGACGATGGGACACTTATTCCTCCCACTGACACCGACGATGGGACACTATTCCTCCCACTGACACCGACGATGGGACACTATTCCTCCCACTGACACCGACGATGGGACACTATTCCTCCCACTGACACCGACGATGGGGACACTATTCCTCCCACTGACACCGACGATGGGACACTATTCCTCCCACTGACACCGACGATGGGACACTATTCCTCCCACTGACACCGACGATGGGACACTATTCCTCCCACTGACACCGACGATGGGACACTATTCCTCCCACTGACACCGACGATGGGACACTATTCCTCCCACTGACACCGACGATGGGACACTATTCCTCCCACTGACACCGACGATGGGACACTATTCCTCCCACTGACACCGACGATGGGACACTATTCCTCCCACTGACACCGACGATGGGACACTATTCCTCCCACTG